CGTTTTTGGACTTTCCCATGTACCGTTAAGACCAAATTTTATCATCCTAGGACAGCTTGAATTTGGTTTCCTTTCATTTTCTGTTTACATCAAATATTGACATATAGGGTTCGTAAAAAGCATAAAATTATTGTTTTGATAGTTTTAGTTCCACTGGAATTCATCCACACAATGCTATATGAGACCATTTTAATTTATTTATACACACATTTAACAGGTTTTAAAAGTATAAGACAACACAGCCGTAATAAGGGTGATTTAAACTGATTTTGAACAATGGGAGAAAAAAGTATATTACAAATATATAAGCCAGAATTGTTAAAAAATGAATTTTCAATCAGCATAAAATAGATAATATTATTCAATCTGTTAACTGACAATTTAAAATAAAACCTCATAAGTTTTAGTACGTGAGTTTAACTTTAAGTTGTGAACATAGCGTTATAAAAGAGACAATGAAAGTAACATGACGCACTATTCATAGGAAAAATCATACTAAAAAATGTGCTTTGACCTCGGAAACCAATCTTCATAATCTTAACCCTCTCAACACTATCTACTCTCGATTTACGTGTCTATATCTACTTTTATTCTTCTATATTGTATAAAAATACAAAATGTAATTTATTAAAGTACTTTCAACGACCCAATTCATAGAACGATTAATGTTAACAAAACGTTATGCGTGTTCGACTACGTTATCATCAACAAAACGGGCATGGAATTAACTAAAATCAGGCAAGTATAACATAAACATACGTTTCTGCTAAAAAAAAAAAATATACAGTCTTTCTCCCCCCCCTCCATTTTTAAATATGTTTAACATTTTTCATGACATTGTTAAGATTACAACAACTCAGTGAGAGGCTAAATATACATTAGGTGCTATCAAACCAAGTCCCGCACTGTATAACTACATGTATGCATGAAGGTCAACATTGAAACACGAAGCGGTAGTCCTGGTATTGTTTATCCAAAATAGGTGAAATTTATGATTCATATAAAAAAATATGAAAACGAGCATTTTTTAATAAGGTACATGTTACCTGTTTTAACCAATTAATACTACGATTAAGTTTGTTGATAATTTCATTCCGGTATAATGAACTATTTTAACTCGCGCATGTAACATCGTCAAAACCAATGCGCAATATTTGTTCACATTTAAGATTACAAAACATTATAACTACAAATAAACAAAATTAAATAATATCTATGAAAGTAAATTTACCCTGAAGCTGAAGCATGGTGAATCAAAGATTATGAACTTGTGCTACCACCGAGATGTTTTATTTGTACTCCGATGTACACGTTCAGCATTAAAAAATGATTCGCGCAGTAATTTTCACAAAAATTCCTACTTTCGGTTTAGGCTTCTGGGAAATGATCTATTTTTAGCTGTTATAACTTGCACATGTTATACATTTAGCGTTTAATGGACTTAAAGAGGGTTTAGCAGACGATTTTGAGCTATAATATTTAAGAATGAGTCGGGCAGCTCTTCCGGGCAGTCGGGGAAGGAAAAGGACAGGTCTATTGCGCGTGACCGAAGTTCTAAATGGTTCGAGGGAACCGAAAGTTGATCAGGTATTTGAAAGCACAGACGGACCGACAATTGATGGGGAGAGTTTTAGCGCTGATGAAGAAAATCCAGAGTGAGTAAATTTGTAACGTTATTTATTTTGCATTGTTATTCATTTTAGATTTAACGTTTTTTCCACTTCAAGAAACATTTGTGATGTAAGGGGAGTAACTTAAATCTCATTACCTTAATTTGTTACTGCATTTACCTCCCCTGAAAAAAAATGTTGTTTTTTAATAGATCTCAGACTGAATTTATATAATATACAGTTTTGATACCTTCATTTTGGTTTGTTTATTAAGTGTAATTTTAACATTTAATATTTGAGTTACGTCAGTCATTATATAAATAGCAAAGGTAAGTAAGACGACAGAATGCAAATTATTTATGTACATCATCTCGAGCGTTGAATTTCTTAAATATGTTGCGTTCTTCAGAAAAAAATACAGTATTGGACGTGATTTTTTTATGTAAATCATACTGAAATAAGCCCTAAAAAATATGAAAAAAGGAGTGAAACTTAGCCGTTTACGTGCCTGTCTGAGTCATTTAGTTATCATCCGTTTGTGATTAATATATTTATTAAAATGACCAAAATGTTTGGGTGTATCTATTTTTCCAAATGGGTTAAAACCATAACGACCCGTGTTAATGTATGAAGAAACGTTGGACGAGTTCAGAATTATGCCAATGTATGGTCATCATAATTAAGCGCGGTAACTCCATTCAATTTACACAGTGGCATTTCGTTCCAAACTCTTAATTATTAACTTAAGTGTTCGACAGACTAAAAAGTGACAAAATTAACCTGTCTATACATGCACAATTACGAAGGAAAACCCAATCGAAGTGTTTTCATTGGTCGGCAAATGGTGTCGAATACTTAATAGTTACTTGATTCACCTTCTCGGCAGTTACAATTTTATTATCAGTTAATGTATCACTATTAAAGTATGGATTTATATGAACTCACTACAGTATTGTAACAGTAACTGTAACTAGACTCTTGTAGAAATCATCATCACAAAGTAGGAAAATATCGCCTTTTTCTTACATTTTTCATTCATTATCGTAAATACGTCGGCACTAAGATATGATTTAAACGTTGTGTAGGTCATTTCGTTGGGTTAGCACCTAATCATTCAAGCGTCTTGTCTGGTATATACTGAAATACGGTTTTTTGTGAGGTACTCCAGTCAAGCGCGTTGCAAGGTCAGTAACTCGTACCCCACCTTCTGACCTTTTAACAATCCGAAAAATATTTATATGAATAAAATAATTCAAAACATAATATAATAAATATTTCATATTGATACGTCACATTTACTCAGGCCATGTTCTTTTATGTTTACAATAAATGTAAATAAATGTTAAAATTTACATTATATACCAAAAATATTTTAGGCACGCTGAGTATATAAAACAGATAAGGCATGTAACTCTGTAGACCGGAACAACATGACAAAATCACGGTTGTCTTGTTCAACAATCTTCTGATCATGAGTTAGTGTATGTTGGTCGATTTTCAAGAGAATGGATTACTCCTAGTCCTTAGGGAAATAGCACTGTATATCTAAGGATGTCACTAGGGCTGGACGGAGAAGATTTCTTTTAAGAGTTCACAACAATTGCTTACATTTGCAACAACAATAATTGATAATACAGGAGTGATGATTATCGTAGCTATACGAGTTCATATTTTCACGGGGCAACGAAGGGAGCGTTTGGTACTTTGTAATAATATAAATTATGTTTTTTTACGGATAACAAGTCGACTTGATATTTGTTATTGATATGCTATATTTTAATAATGTTAAAGGTTCCTGGTGGGGGTACTAATTACTGACCTGGCTGTACGCCGTGCGCTTGTAATTCTTACCAACATGATTATTTGGACCATTATATAGCCGATATTGAGCCGTGGACCCGCGAGAAAAAAACCATGAGTATATCTGTCCCTACACATGATGGAAACATTTTACGATAAGATTGGTTGTGCCAAAGCTAGTTTTTGTGTTACCGTTTGCTGGTTTAATCTTCAAACAATGTTTCTAAAAGATCCCAATACATTATTGAGTACTGTACGGAATTCTATTGGACAAGTTCACATCTGTTAAAACTATATTGGACGAGGCGTCAACTGAGTTTTATTTAGCTTTAGAGCTGTCCACAAGTCCAATAGATTGTATTATTCTGGGTAATGTATAATGACCTCTTTATTCTTGAACGCCATCTTATTTTTTTTCATCATTCTAACAGAACATTGCCACTTTTAGAGTCTAAAATGAAAACAAAGCTAGATTGAGTATGATATGTATTTGATGTAGATTTTATAGACTTTCGAAATGGAAACAAGCTGAATGATAAGTTTGTGCAAACGCTTAAAGTTCTTTGGTTTTCTGTTATATTAAGATTAAACAAGAAACATGGCAATGCCATGAAACCAGGTTTTCAATTATCACCATTGTAGATAAATATGTTGTATTTGAAATACAAATACAAGCAACAAACAATGTAACTATGTGCAATGTAAAACATGAATAATGTAGGAGGAATTGCCACTGAAGAAGTGTTCACTATAATATTATGTATAAGGAAAAAAACAAAGGGCCATAATTAGGTCAAAAACTATCCAATCACAAAACCCCGACAATATGTGCCAGGGTGCTTGATGACAAAGCTTCTGTGAAAGTTTGAACAAAATCCGTTGAGAAATGTAGGACGAGTTCAGCACAGAAGAATTTGTTCACTATAATTATATTGATAATTCTGTATAATGAAAAACAAGTTACACAGTAGACATGAAATAATATATCATATCTTTTTTAAATTACCTCCAAAGATGATATGACCTTTGACTGCCAAATCAAGTTAAAATCATGTAAACAGGATTTTCAATGTTAATGTCACTGTGACCTTGACCTTGGAGCCAGCCATGCGGAACATGCGTTCTGCACGTCATCTTGATATGGTAAACATTTGTCTGAAGTTTCATCAAAATTCTTCAAAGGGTTGAAGAGTTACAGAGCGGACAGGATTTTCAATGTTAATGTCACTGTGACCTTGACCTTGGAGCCAGCCATGCGGAACATGCGTTCTGCACGTCATCTTGATGTGGTAAACATTTGTCTGAAGTTTCATCAAAATTCTTCAAAGGGTTGAAGAGTTACAGAGCGGACAGGATTTTCAATGTTAATGTCACTGTGACCTTGACCTTGGAGCCAGCCATGCGGAACATGCGTTCTGCACGTCATCTTGATGTGGTAAACATTTGTCTGAAGTTTCATCAAAATTCTTCAAAGGGTTGAAGAGTTACAGAGCGGACACAATTTCGTTTGACGCCCGCCCATCCGCCCATCCGCCCATCCGCCCGCCATACCCCAATCTAATAACCAGGATTTTCAAAATTGAAAACCTGGTTAAAAATATATCGCAAAATTATGATCATGAATGTAATAATCTTTCTTTTTTTTTCTCACTAAACAATTAAATGATTATTTATTATTTATTTATTTATCAAGCAATTATATATTTATTTAGCCTGTATGTTGTTAACCACCCTTAAGTGAACTTTTATATATGTAGCATATAATTATGCTTCTCAAAACATCGAAGAATATGTAAAATATGTACTGCAAATATTGGTCCACATTATATGTAATCATTAATATATATGCATTCATTTCGTATTTAAGGCTTTATAGAAAACCTCACTTTATTAACATAAAATGTTAAATTCGGTAATATCTTTACAAATAATGCTCTTTGGGACTTACAATATTTATAAATCTTCATTTGAGCATTAAATTTATAATATAAACCATAAAAAATGAGTTACTGGATTTCTAAGCTTATAGTTTCCCACACATTTGAACTTAAATGAATTCTGTATTTATAAAAAAATAATTACACTGATAGTATCAGACATAAGAATAAACAAAGAAAGAATTGTATATTAATGTTGTCTGTTAGTGTTAGAAATATGATTCGATAAGACAGCAAACAGAACATCGGACCTTATAGCATTATAGCGACCTCCCAGACAGCCCTATACATGTAACGGACCGAAGCCGAAGGCTGACTGATCGGTCACTATAATGCTCAGACCCTAAGTGCTACGTACTATTTCTTGACTGAGACGAAATATTGTTATCTATTATATAAATGTTTTTAATGTTTAATACAGAATCACTTAAAACATTCATTTTCGAGTGATGTTTTATACGATTATCCAAGTGTTACATTTCTATTGTTATTATAAATATTTGAAATACTTTCGAAATATGTGCCAATGGTAACGCAATCCCCTTTAAAGCCTCGCAAACGCTTCATGGATCAGTTCCAGTTAACCCACGGCAGGGAAATAGTTCACTGTCGCAGTTTTTGTATTTAAGGTACTTAAAGATACATTAGCATTTATTCGTATGTATGTATTAGTAAAAGACATGCATTTTTGTAAAGCAAAATTATATTTCTTACTTACCCCTGCAAGTCCATTGTAAAAACATTAATTTAATGAACGTCTTTCTGAATGCTTAAGTGACTTATCTTAGTATTTCAATAAATGAGCCGCGTCACGACAAAACCAACATAGTGCGTTTGCGACCAGCATGGATACAGACCAGCCTGCGCATCCGCACAGTCTTATCTGGATCCATGCTGTTCGCAATCAGTTTCTCTACTTGTTATAGGGTTGGCAGGCGAACAGCATGGATCCTGATCAGACTGCGCGGATGCGCATGCTGGTCTGGATCCATGCTGGTCGCAAACGCACTATGTTGGTTTTGTCGTGACGCGGCTCAATTTAATATCCTAAGTGGCATACTGTCTTAACACTAAGTTTTATAAACTCAGATATATATAAATGTTAAGAAAATTCTGTTCGCTAGTTTTACCTTCTGCGTATGTATTTATAAATAAAAATGAAGGAACTTGGAAATGTTTTAAAGTTAAAATAAGGTATGAAGTTATTATGGTCATGTTTTATTTAGAGAGGAGCTATACCAGAGTATTGTGAGAGAGCGGAATATAGTCAGATCATCAAAGAATAATGATTCTCAAGTAAAAGGTAAACCGGGTGAACGTGTACGTCCAACTGAAGAAAGAGATGAGAATGAAGACAGAAACAAACCGGTAGAGAAGAAAGTTTCTCATCAATCACAGCAACAAGAAGTTTTTACTACAGCATTTCAGTAAGTAACTTTTTATTTTGTATGTATTGATATTTGATTTAGGTATAGTTTTAACAGTAATTACCTCCTCTTTGTTTAGATTTTCTAGTAGGAAGAAAATACAGTGTTGTGCTAATCTTGTAGATGTGTGAAGTTGGCGGCCTAACGGCCTGGCGGTCTAGCGGCCTGGCGGCGTGAAGTTGGCGGCCCAGCGGCATGGCGGCCTAGCGGCGTGAAGTTGGCGGCCCAGCGGCCTGGCGGCCTAGCGGCCAAAAATTTTAATGTTGTAAAAATGTTTTTTTAACAATAAAACGGCATTTAATGAAGTTTTAAAGATAATTATTGTTATTTAAACGATATATCTAAAGAAAAAATCACTTTCAGAGATTTTTTTAATTTTGTCATTTTTGTGAAGTTGGCGGCCCAACGGCCTGGCGGCCTAGCGGCCAAAAATTTTAATGTTGTAAAAATGTGTTTTTTTTTAACAATAAAACGGCATTTAATGAAGCATTTCTTGGCGGCGTGAAGTTGGCGGCCCAGCAGCCTGGCGGCCTAGCGGCGTGAAGTTGGCGGCCCAGCGGCCTAGCGGCGTGAAGTTAGCGGCCTGGCGGCCTAGCGGCCAAACATTTTAATGTTGTAAAAATGTTTTTTTAACAATAAAACGGCATTTAATGAAGTTTTAAAGATAATTATTGTTATTTAAACGATATATCTAAAGAAAAAATCACTTTCAGAGATTTTTTTAATTTTGTCATTTTTGTGAAGTTTGCGGCCCAGCGGCCTGGCGGCCTAGCGGCCAAAAATTTTAATTTTGTAAAAATGTTTTTTTAACAATAAAACGGCATTTAATGAAGTTTTAAAGATAATTATTGTTATTTAAACGATATATCTAAAGAAAAAAATCACTTTCAGAGATTTTTTTAATTTTGTCATTTTTGTGAAGTTGGCGGCCCAGCGGCCTGGTGGCCTAGCAGCCAAAAATTTTAATGTTGTAAAAATGTTTTTTTAATAATAAAACGGCATTTACTGAAGTTTTAAAGATAATTATTGTTATTTAAACGATATATCTAAAGAAAAAATCACTTTCAGAGATTTTTTTTTAATTTTGTCATTTTTGTGAAGTTGGCGGCCCAGCGGCCTGGCGGCCAAAAATTTTAATGTTGTAAAAATGGTTTTTTTTTAACAATAAAACGGCATTTAATGAAGTTTTAAAGATAATTATTGTTATTTAAACGATATATCTAAAGAAAAAAATCTATAATGTTAAATCGTTATATCAAAGTCATTTTTTTATTTTTTGTATTCAAACTCTTGGAATATAAACAAAATTATAATATCTGGTGGACACAGTTTCAGATTTTTTCTATCTTTTCTAAAAACAAATTACTGTCGACGTCTTTTTGAACAACTTATGCGACTTTTTTCACCATACATATTACGTAATTAAAGATTATTGAGTCGCTGATTGAGCAAACAAAAATCCCTGATACGGTTCCCTCCGTAATTGAATTCCTTTCATGTGCTTTAAACCGCATGTAAATTGCTTTTTTATCAAGAAAGTTATGCCGACTCAAATTAAGTTAATCTGACGCGCATCAAACGAAGTGTCATAATTCGGCTGTTCTCTCTCAGACCCCTACGTTATCCGTTAAATTATTTATAACCGGTTATAACCCCCAAAGTCACACCACAGGGGGTGACACGATGAAGTAACACATACTGTAAGTACATGAAACTCGTTAGTACTGGCTGGGGCGACATCAAGGGATGTTTCTGCTAAAAAAAATGTCGACGCCGTTACACATAAACTTTTAAATAAAAATGAAAAGAATTTGTTTTAATGTTTATTTATATGATAACAGATGAAATAATTCATGCATACTGAATTCATAGCTTTTCATATACACAACAAGGTTCAGAAGAGTAGTAATGTTTAATCACTTTTGTAAATTTGTAAAGGGATCAAATTAATATCCTTTGCTTTATGTCACCTACATGCGATGTCCATACATATCTTTTAAACGGTGTACGGACATAATCCCATTCGGACAAAATCCCCTTCATGTATTTTTGTATATCCGGACATAATCCCCTTCATTTGTGAAATTTTGAAGTGGACAAAATCCCCTTTATAAAATTGCTACCTAGGACAAAATCCCCCTCAGAGGAATTTTCGTTTTTTTAAGTGGGTATGAGAGCAACATACTGCATTATGCTGTGTAGTAAATATCTTAATGTATAAATGAGGAGAAAATATTTCAGCAGAAAAAGCACATTCAAATAGCAACATTTAAATCACATTAAAATTGCTTTGTTAAAGCATTCATAACAATCAATCAAGTAGTGCAGTGATCTTGGTTTGATTAAATTATCACTCTTTCATCAATAGAAATTGTAACAATGGATAGTATCTATCAATTAGAATTATCAACTTATACAATCAATGAAACAATTATTGGCTTCATACTAATCAATTTAAAACTATTAAAGAAATTGCCTAATCAAATATGTGTTATGCGAATGTAGGACAAAACCCCACCAAAACTCCACTCTGTAAAATTTAGTGGTGGGGTTTTGTCCACTCTATAAAATTTAGTGGTGGGGTTTTGTCCACTCTATAAAATTTTGAGTGGTGGGGTTTTAACTGGTGGGGTTTTGTCCGTCTTCCGTGTTATGCAGTTGATAATTTACCATAATTTTAATGAAAACTTCTAAACTAAATAAAGGTAACTATTGATACATAATTATAAATAAAAAAACAAAAGTTCATTATTCATCAATTTTTAGGGAGTATAATATAAATTATTCATCAATTTTTATGGAGCATAATAATACATTAGAAACCTATGAAACAAGGGGATTTTTCCCGGGTAGTGAAGGGGATTTTGTCCAGCCTTGCAAAAAATGAAGGGGATTATGTCCACCCATGAAGGGGATTTTGTCCGGGTAGGTGAAGGGGATTTTGTCCGAAGGGGATTATGTCTGACATTCCTTTTAAACACATAAAAAACACAACTTTAATACACTATATGTAAATTTGATTGACCATGGGGGGGGGGCCTTTTGTCCTACCTTACTTTTTTATGGGGGGCTTTTGTCCTATGTGTTAATTTCATGGGGGTGAAGGGGTGGGGGCTTTTGTTCACATTGTCATTTTTAGACGGGGTAGGGGCTTTCGTCCGGGGCGTGCTTTTGTCCGTATCCCTTTCACAAAATGCTCATGAAGTAATGTTCAGTGGAAAAAAATTCTTTCAGCGAATGTACCTTTTTTAATTTATTTTATTTTGTTCGGTACCATTGCCCAATTGGAGCCTCTGTAAAAAAAATTGCATTGTTATATAACAAACCTGTACGCAAAAAAAATCAACTGTTATATATCATTCGAGATTTTTTCTTATCTGAAGCAATGAAAAAATTGTACTGTTATATATCAATACAGTTTTCAAATGCTCATTGATAATGGGTAAGTAAGAACAAATGAAAAGTTCCAAACCATGCGATAACATCTTTAATGACCCAGTGACATCTGACCAATTTAAAAGCAGCCGATAAATATCATTTTATAGCAGATTTTATGGAAACCCATGGCTGTCTGATATTGTTCTTTTTCAATTTATGTAACCATTTGGATAATATATGAGTTCACTTCGACTATATATGAATTGAAAACACCTTCTTATTTAACCGGAATCCATTATATTAATCCACAGTAACAATATATGAAACCATACTGTCAGTGTATGAAACCGAGTTAGCAATATATAAGTTGTTTTTCTCAATATATGATTCCAATTCTTCAATATATGTTACCAAAGTAGCCATGTATGGAACCAGATGTCCTGATATGAAACCGAATTATCAATATGTTAATTCATTTTTACAAAATATGAAACCATTTTATCAATGTATGGAACCAAAGTAGCAATATATGAGTTGGTTATACAAATTATTCAATATATGGAACCAAAGTAGCAATGTATGAAACCAGGTGTCCTTCTATGAAACCAAATTATCAATATATTAAATCATTTTTACAATATATGAAACCATTTTATCAATGTATGGAACCAAAGTATCAATATATGAGTTGGTTATTACAATATATGATACAAATTATTCAATATATGGAACCAAAGTAACAATATATGGAACGAGGTGTCCTTATATGAAACCGAATTATCAATATATTAATTCATTTTTACAATATATGAAACCATTTTATCAATGTATGGAGCCAAAGTATCAATATATAAGTTGATTGTCACATTATATGATACCAGATATTCAATATGCCCTTATATGAAACCGAATTATCATTATATTAAGTCATTTTTACAACATATGGAACCATTTTATTAATGTATCGAACCAAAGTAGCAGCTAGTATATAAGTTGATGTTACATTCTATGATAGCAATTGTCATTATATGGAACCAAAATAGCCTATTTTCAAGTCAACAAGTCAAAGACCGAGGTCACTGGGTTACAATGCATAAACTTTTTCATGAAATCAATTATTATTTGACAAGTTATTTTTTAACTTTGTCAGTAGATTAACCTTGATGTGTCCTTCTGGCACTGCCTATTTTTGATCAAAGGTAAAGGTCGAGATGAACTTATTTTTTAAACATGTTTTTGTTAATGGTCAGTACGACTCAATAGCTTAAATTATGACATACAACTCCTACATATATAACGATAAGTTTTGCCTGCCCAGCCCATTTTAAGTGAATGTGACGTTAATTTCAAATATTTTTTCCTTATAGTATGCAGTCAGTATGCAGTAAGTGAAGCACGATGTTCTTTAAACAAGGACTGTAATACCGGTGCAAGGATAGAATACAGCCTGTAAAAAAGTCCCGTCAATATAATGACATTTTGGTTCAATATATTGCTACTTTGGTATCATATATTGAAGAACTGGTATCATATAATGTGAAAATCAACTTTTATATTGCTACTTCGGTTACATATATTGATAAACTGGTTTCATATATTGTAAAATTGATTTAATATATTGATAATTCGGTTTCATATAATAGCATCTGGTTCCATACATGACTTACTTGGATCCATATATTGAAGATCTGGTATCATATAAAATTACTACTTAAATGGTAAACGATTTATGTTGAAATATTCATA